CCTTCCATCCAAATATAACTGAAAAAGCTGGGATAAGTTTCACTCACTTTTGGTAGACCTTTTGCTGGTTCAGGTATTTGTTCATCGTTTAGTGGAATACTGTAGTCAATAATTTCTTTAAAATAACGTGCTTTTGCATCAGTAGAAAGATTCTCCAAAATAAATGTCCGAATTCCAGACAGTCGACGTTCTTGGCTGCATTTTTCATCAATTTCGTCATGACTTTTACGATGAGAATATAGCTCAGAAGTGTTGTCGGCAGTGGAAACTTTTGTTGATGCTGATGTAGAAGATGCGAAATTTGTTGGTGAACTGTTTAAACCATGTTGTGCTGCAGTTTCAGAATCTGTTGTAACGGATTTCATCCGTAAATGATTCTTCTTGTTGTTATTACTAATATTAGTGATAATGTTGTTTTTTTTTTTTTTCAACTGTAAGTAACTGTTTAATGTTTTACAATTTTTTTTTCTTCTACTTCTTATTCTTTTTTCTTTCAACAAGAATTGTTAAATGTTGAGATTGATTTAGCAAAAAAAAAAAAGAGAAAAGCAAATTTGTTGTCAAGACTGATTATAACTATGTTAATATCAACAGTTCATTAAACGATCCGGTAGAATAATTGTCGTTATCCTGTTAAAAAAGTTAATTAAAAAACACGAAAAAGGAAAAAAAGGAATAAAAAATTAGTTGATAATACATAGGTTACAAGGAATAAATAAATAATTAAATAAAAAAAAACTTTATGCAACAAAATAACAGTAATAACAGAAACTGTGTTTCAGTAAAATTAATAGCAATAAAACAGCTAAAAAAAAAAGAAACGCTACTCATTAATTTGATTAGCCAATCAAATAAAGCGAATACTGTTAGAGGAATTTTACAGTAATCCTGGACTTAAGTCAATTATGGTTTGCAGATTTCAGGAAATACCTTTGATACGGTATTGACTGTCTGCCACCCATTTGCTTTACAGATTTTACAGCTTTTTTTTTTTTTTTTTCTCTTAGATGACTTTAACTTTTTATCTTACCATTTTTTAAAGCAATTATTATAGCATTTAAAGAATTTTCAAGAATTTTTTTAATTTTTCTGAACAAATGAAATAAAATTAGGTACTATAAAAAGTCAGATGTAAACAGGTATAATTCTTTTTTTTTTTTTGTTTGATTAAAATTTATAGACCGTATTTACGCCTTTTTTTTTCTTTGGTATTTTGGAAAATTTTTAGTTAACCATCTAAAGCAGTAAGCAGAAAATAAATAACAAATTGGCGATATATATTGAACAACAAATGTAACTGCAATAATAGTTTATTTCTCGTTTCAATTTTTACGCTTTACCTGATTAGTGCTCATAGAAAAAACGACATAGATAATCGGTGATAAACTTTGTTATGTGTGACAACAGATAAATCTAACAAAAAAGTAAAAACCAAAAATGAAAAATTGGGACAAAAAAAGAACAGAAAAACAAAAAAACAAAAGTGGATCGTTTTTTTTTTCCTATATAAACAATAACCAAAAACAAAAAAAAGACAAAAAATTACGGTAAGCAAAAAAAAACGTTTAACAAAGGAGAAAAAAAAAAGATTGAAGCAGTGAAACAAATGAATTATGGTGGTAAATTAGATAAAGTTAAGAAAAAAGCAGCTAAAAAAAAAGCTTTAAAAAATTGTCGATCAAAACTGATAGATAGAAATAAGTAACTTAAAAACAAAGCAAAAAAAAAAAAAAAAA